GAAAGAAAATCCCGATGGCAACGGACAGAACCGGAAAGTCGGTCAACATCGGAACCTGTTGGGTTCCAACTGTAGGACTTGAGGTAAGTGACATCAAACTCAAATTCCCCATGATGTGGCCCGGACAAACTGAAACAATGCCGAAGTTAAACACTATAAGGAACAGTCATTTCATATATATAGATATACAGTTAGATAGATAGATAGACAGATAGATAGATATTTTTAGAAATCCCTATAAAGAGGTTCTTGTTTTATTTTCTTTGCCCTGACTAATTTCTTGGTGATTGTATGCATTTCGTTGTAAACTAAACAGGCCTGGTACAAAAAGAAAAAAAAAAAAAAAAAAAAGGAAAAGGAAAAAAAGAAAAGACAAAAGGCAGAACTACCGCCCGCTGACACCGCGAAGCGGCCGCGCTCGCCTCAGCGGCGCCTGCTGCTCCAGCTCGCAGGGACGCAGCTCCCGCCGCCCCACGGGCGATGGCTCCTCTCTTGGGGATGGTGAGGGTGGAAGGGGGACTTTTAAGCTTTTTCTAAATTCCTGGATTTTTTTTTTTTTCTACATGGTGGAGGCCACGGCCGTCCACTTCCAACCAAGGGGGCTAGTCCAGGCTCTGGATTCACCCGCCTGGCACGTGGAGCGCGCGAGGGCCGGCGCTGCCCAGGGCGGCCTATGCCCGGTCCCAAGTAGCTCTTATGTGGCAAGGAGCTGAGGGGACAGCACGGTGGGAAGAGAAAAACGCAAGATAAAGGGAGAAACGACTCCAGGAAAACGAAAAAGGGGAAATGGGGAGTGGGTATGAGATCTAGCTAACACCACGCGGGTGAGTCTACGTTGGCACGTAAAGTATTGCACATCCTACAAAAGCCAAAGCATGAAAAGGGACAATTGGTTGGAAAGAACCAGTTATTTCAGAATTCCTCAGTCTGAAATACAAGCACAGAACTTATACATTCCTATTGCTCCAAACTTTTATTTATTATTATTATTATTTTTTTAGTGTTAGTTGAATAGATCTAGTCAGTTCAATAGCCCCTGCTTCCTTATTAACCACAAATGTGAATGCGTATGGTTTTACTCGAGATTTTTCTGAGTACGTGTGAATTACGAAAATAGTAGTACGAAGGTGAACTAAAATCTGTCATTCTTTCTATTCCTTTACCATCAAAGCTTAAAAACAAAACAGAAGACAAAACGAAACAATAAATTGCAAGTGCCCTGAGCAGAGTATATGGAAGATTAAGCAACTTCTCTGAGCAGAAATATTAACAAATAAGCACTAGATAAGCAGTGTGACTGTGAGAAGAAACCCACTCAGCTATTTGGTAGCCTGCTGAGAGGTTAATAAAATTCAAGGAAATTCAAGAAAAGTTCAAGCTATTTTAAACTTATTTGAACTTTTTGGTGCACCCCAGAATACGGTATAAAAACAATTAGTTCTGGTGTGAGCTAAATTTCAAGTAACAAATAACGAGAGTCAAACCTGGGGTTCGGGGGTGGACATTTCTTTTCTTAAATAAAAGCACTGCATTTTAGGGGAGAGGGAAAACAGAGATTTTAGATATATTCTCTTTCGCTTTAGGTACTGGGTGTCTAATTCCTTTCCTCCCTTCCGAACAGCTCCTCCAAAGCCACCTGACGGGTGCGAGCTCGGCAGGGCGAAGCAGCGAGCTACGGTGGAGGAGACCCGCAAGGGCCTCCCCTCGGCCCCGCGGGGCTTTCAGCACCCGCGTCTCGCCGGGACGTCGCCCCGAGGCATCGCGGCGCCCGGCGCCTCCAAGGATCCGGCCCGACCTGCCGGACTTGGGGGGAACGCAAGGCCGAGCAGCGCGAACGCTCCCCTCCCGGCTTGTACCAAACGCTGCAGCCTGGTCTTTCGAATGGAAAACGACGCAATTAAAATCACAAATAATAATAATAATAATAAAATAACAATAGGCTTGTTTCAAAAACAGACAGACATCCTGTACAGAAATGTTTCTTGTGGAAAACTCTCTCAGTAAGTCTGAAGAAAAAAAAATATTCTCAGAGCTGTCCTTGTAGGACCTGGTTCTGTGTGGCAGATATGGTAGAAAGACCAAAAAAAAAAAGAACTTTGAAAGGAACATAACCCTATGAAATGGCCTAGAGCATAGGCAGGTTAGTGAGTAATTGCTACATTTGTTTATGCTCTTTCAGACCCCATCCCCCCACCCCGACATCCCCGCCCAGCCCCCCGACATTATTAGGTAAAAACTGCAGGAATATACCACACAAATGATAAACTCAAGATGTGCAAATTGCAAGATTCTTTAAAGTCCATCTTTTTTTTTTTCAAAAACACTGGACAATGATTTTTTTTTCTCTTTCCTTTCTCCTTTCTCTTATTCTTTTATTATCTGTCAGCTCGCATATGCCTTTAACTCTTTCTCAAGCATTAAAGTTTAAAAAGTGCCTCCTATTAAGTAGTCCTTTGTGGACAATGACTGTCACATACTAGTTCAATAATTCACATTCATCCCTTTGAAACCACATTAAAACTTTCTGCATCTTGCCTGTGAGAAAACTCTACAGAGTTGCATGTAGTTACAGTGTTGAAGAAGAGATTCATCTGTTGTTGTTGTTGTTGTTGTTGTTGTTGCCGCTGTTTTCCGAGCAGATTAAAGTGAGATACAGTACGCACTGAGTGTTAGAGCAGGATGCTCAGCAACCACGCGTGAGCTGCATTTTAAGTGCTTAAAGACATTCTATGTTCATCTTCAACATCGGGTTCCTCGTGTCACACCGAAATTGGAAAAAAAAAAAAAAAAAAAAAGTGGCACCAGTTGTCCATAGTCATGAACTCAAAACAGTACTAGAGTTAAAGACGAAGATCTGCAACCTAACTGCCAACAACTCATGCCTGTGACCTCCAAGGGGCAGTATGCGCCGGCCTCGTGGAAGCGGACGTCGGCGGCGCGGGCCGGGAGCAGGAGCGAGGCGGGCGGCGGGCGCGCGCAAGAGACCGGCCTCAGCGCCCGCCGCCCGTGGGACTGCACTAGCGAGCAGCAGGGACATGGCGGCGTGGCAGTTGCTGTGTGAGTAAAAATCAGTGCAGTCAGACCCCATGGGGGGAAAATATATATATACACATATACACACACACGAATATATATATATATATACACGCACATATATATATATATATATTGTAGAGCCTTGAGTAAGGGTTGGTTGGTTGTGAAGACGTCAGCGACTGTCTGATGCGCTTCCATCCCA